CGTGCGGATAGGAGTGGGAATCGGATTTTTTGGAAATCAAATTTATAATCGAATTTTTTGGAAATTAAACCAAATATAAATTGTGACCGATTATAATCCGATAATTATGTCAGAAGTTAAAAAGAGCACTTCAAATGAACGTTTCGAATAGTAGATTAGGAGAATTGGACTTAGGTGTCATGTACAAAAAGACATTTTATAACGCAGTCTGTGTGTTTCATCCCTTAGCTATAAACATAGACCGGACTACGCATGCGGATAGGAGCGGGAATCGGATTTTTTGTAAATCGAATTTATAATCGGATTTTTTGAAAATTAAACCGAACATAAATTGTGACCAATTGTGATCTGATAATTATGTCAGAAGTTAAAAAAACACTTCAAATGGACGTTTCGAATAGTAGAGTAGGAGGATTGGACTTAGGTGTCATGTACAAAAAGACATTTTACGATGCAGCCTGTGTTTCATCCCTTAGCTGTAAACACAGACCGTGCTATGCATGCGGATAGGAGTGGGAATCGGATTTTTTGGAAATCGAATTTATAATCGAATTTTTTGGAAATTGAACCAAATATAAATTGTGACCAATTATAATCTGATAATTATGTCTTAAGAAGTTAAAAAAACACTTCAAATGGACGTTTCGAATAGTAGAATAGGAAGATTGGACTTAGGTGTCATGTACAAAAAACATTTTATAACGCAGTCTCTGTGTTTCATCCCTTAGCTGTAAACACAGACCGGACTATGCATGCGGATAGGAGTGGGAATCGGATTTTTTGGAAATCGAAGTAATTTAAATCGAATTTATTGGAAATTAAACCAAATATAAATTGTGACCAATTATAATCTGATAATTATGTCTTAAGAAGTTAAAATGAATTGCTCTGTTGGTAATCCTTTCAGGAGACGAAACGAACGTCAGGATCGACCCGCAGGCGAAGTTATCAACTTCATAGCTGGGAAACTGTGCTAGCTGAGGGAATGCTCCACAAACTGGTAATGCTAGAAAGAGTGCACAAAGTGCAGAGGGCGGCGGAGAAAAAGTGTAATCTCACTAGGGCCTCGGATGATTTCGGCTTCCTGCAAATGTGTTTTATGTTTTTTGGCGGGCGGGGGAGGGGGATTTCTCCGGTATGTGACATTCTTTCCGTGGGGAACGGGAGATCCCGGTCTTTCTGTGGTAGATTCGACCCACCTCCATGAAAATTTCAATCTCTGAGGTGGAAAATTGTGCCTCTCTGTGTGATAAATCTAAAACGATGCGGAAAATCCAATTTCTGCAAAGAATTTGTTCCCCCCATGAAAAATCCCCCTCCCCCGCACCCCGGTGGGAAAATCAACCCCCCATTGAAAATTTCAGCCTCCCAGCAAAAAAAAACCAATTTTCCCCTGAAAAAAAACAATCTCTCCGTGAAAAAAATTCATCCTCTCCAGATCCCCTCACGAAAAGTACGACTCCCCGCAGGGAAGTCAACTCTCCATTGAAAATTTCAACCTCCCAGCGAAAAAAAATCAATTTTTCGCTGAAAAAACAATGTCCCCTATCTTCTCTGACGTTGTTTCGTCTCCTGAAGGGATTATTAGCTTTTTGGTTCTTCTGGAAAAAACTTGTTAGACTTTAAGTAAAGTTTTTTTTGCATACAAAAAAGTGGTAGATACGAACGAGTAATTTCGTAAATGCCCTCTTTCTTGGTGCTTTTTCGTTTCCTTTGAATTTCCGTACAGTCTGTTAGCATGGAGATACAGTATCCCCCTGTGTACAGTATTTGGAGTGCGTGCGGAACCGGTAAACTGTTACCGAGGGGGTACGGTAGCTCACCGTATACGGTATCTGGACTGTTTGCGAGGTCGTTGCCGACAGTCGTGATTCCATGTGAAGATAAAAACTCCAGGACTCCTCCGATGGAAGGGATGGATGACTTCGTTTCAACATGATGGTTAGGGGGATGTACTGATGATTCCCACCCCTAACCACGCTTCCTGCTGTCTGTGTTTACAGCTTGGGGATGAAACACAGGCAGGCTTTTTTACATACAGCTCTTTACATGACTTTTTCACATGCCACCCTGTTTTTGAAAATATGCGTTACAACAATCTGGACCTTTTTTATTTTCCTCCCCTCACTGCCTCCTTGGATTTCGGACAGCCACCGTCCCACCCTTGCTTATTCCTATTGCATGTAGGTTGGTGCGCCCCTGCCGCTCAATACCCTTCGCTGATTGGGCCGCTGTTCCGGCCCCTTACTACTGCCTTTTATTTTATATAGGGGAGTAAGAGCAACAACTGTTAAAACGCGGCCCGGCCCGGCTTGGCCGGTAACATACACGATTTGCAAACGATTTTTCGGGTGTCCTTACTCCAGTGTGGCAGAGGATGCTGAATGCTGCGGATGGGGTAGTGGTGGGACCTAACTTTTTGTTGGGGTTTAAAATGCAATAGTTTTTTGGTGGGGTCTGAAATTTTAGCACATGCTGTTAGGTCTTTTAACAGATATTTTGGCTGTATGTTTTTTTTTTTCAGGACTGATGGTGATGGCTACAGGTGTTTTTGGTGAGCCACGATTGCTTCATTCGAAAGGTTTCATCCAGTTGTGCTTGGATAAGAATGGCACTGATAACACCGGGGTATGTCACAATTCTCTTTCATCTTAGTCCTCCTCAATTAGTTTTTTCTTTCTTTTTGTTCGACTGTTTAGAAGGGAAAAAATGCACGAACTGCGAAAAATATAGTGCAGAGATGTAAGTTTTATTGGAAATTTTTCGGTATACATGAATTTATAAGAAAAGCTTAAATTTTCGGAAATAGTGCGCGAAATTACAATGGAAAAGTGTGAATTCGATAAAAATTAACACAATAAAGTCCGGCATACGTGAATCTACAAGGGAATCCTAAATCTTGGGGAAAATTGTGCACCATTTACGCGAATTTACAGTGAAAACGGGTGAATCCGGTCAAAATTAACACAGAAATCCTAAAAAATGAGGTAAAATTGAGTTCTGGAAAAGTATGTTATGTGCACGAAATTGTAGTGAAAAGGTGTCAGTTTTTTTGGATTTTCTTTTTTTGAGAATTTTTTATTATCCTTAAATACTTCTCTCCCTGTCTATTACATCTCATGGTATCAGTAAATTCAGATCTCCCTAATTTTTTTGTTTTCAGAACATTGAAGCTAGGACGTCCTGATATTTATTCAAACAAATTTTAGAGACACAAACAATGAATATCCCTGGCTAGGAGATTGGAAGAGGACCGGGGGCCTGAAATCGTCCATGTGTTAATATATGCAGTTTGTTTGGCGTTGCTGGCCCACCAGCCATGGAGAGGAACACAGTTGAATTTTGATAATTAATAAAAACACAGTGGAAGTAGTGCCATTTAGATCTCCCAAATAAGCAAGCCTGTATGTGCACAGTGATTTGGTAGCCTGTCT